TGTGTGATATTTTATATATGGATATAGGAAATGAATTTTTTTTTAATTTTAAAGTTTTTTGGGATAACGTAATGAATGAACATTTAAAATATTATATTTTATCATCGGAGAAAGNACCTTTTTGTTAGCTTTTCTATTATGGAAGTTACGAGCCATCATTTGAACATGTCGAGCTAAATTGAGNGATGATAGTAGGGGAACGTACTAGGAAAATAAATGAGGATTCGCCCTAGATATGGCTTCTAATCGTTGATATTCTAAGATCATGTCGGGATCGGTTATGAAAGCAGATCTATCAAGGTGAGATAAATCAACATTGTTTCAATTAGAACATCTGCTAAGTGCGATATAAGCCTGACCAGCCGAGAATATGCTTCCATCTAAAGCGAGAGTGACTTTAGGTAAAGTTAAACTTTGGGTCTTGTNGACGGTAAGGGCGAAGCAATTTTGTAAGGGGAATTGGGTTCGGTGACAGTTGTTCCCATTGATTTCGAAATAATGAGTGTGTTTGTGAACATTTAGGTCTATTATAGATCCTCGGACGGAGAAGGCGATTCGCACGTATTGTTCTGATGGGTTTACATCGGTAATTACACCTACTGTACCGTTGCATATTCCGTGATCGATAAGGGAATTGTTTAGGTACATAACACGTGCGCCAGGTTGTAGTCTGACGCAGGAGGGTAAGTTAGTTTTTTGCTTGAACATCTTGTCACAGTGAGATCGATCCCATGGCGCAGAGCTTACAAAATCNGAAGCTTGTGAAAGTANGAATTTATTGTCNGGAACAGGGATNGTGTTGCAGATCATNGTATTAATCGTTTGGGCATTTTCTCTAAATCNGACAACATGAGTAGTATTAAGGGATGTTTCGATCGCAGATCTGGTTAAGAATTCGGAATGACGTCGTTGTAGAGTGTTCCAGGTTTCAGCAGAGATTTCGCCCATTCGTACTTCTTCTAGGATGCGGTAGAATCTTGGGTCGTTGATTTGACGTTGTGATATTCTCAAAAATAAGGGGTAGAATAAGAACCAGGTAGCTGCACAGAATACGGGTTGACCAGAGACAGGAGGGAGTTGTGAGAGGTCACCTACGATTATAACGTTTATGCCACCAAAAGGGATAGTATTATTGTGAAGGCTTGCGAAAATGTTTGATATAAAATCGAGGAGTTCGGCGAAAACTATGGATATTTCTTCAATAATTAAGGTAACAATCTTCTTTAATCGGGTTCTCAGTTCGTTATCTGTTAGAGCGCGCGTGTAAAAGCCTCCTCATGTAGTTACGATTCGCATCTCAGAATGGATTGTTTTACCGCCTATGTTTTGAGCGGCGACTTCCATAGGTGCTAGAAGTAGGTAGGTAGAATGTCTCTGATCAAGCATGTTAGTTATCATATGGATTATATAGGATTTTCCAGTTCTGGCGGATCTGGTTATGAAGAAGTATGGCCATTTCACACCATCATTTTTTCCTAGATACGTTGTAATGGTGGATAATGCGTGGTACTGGTCTTGCGGTAGTTCTAGCATGGCGGTTTCAGGAAATGTATGAGGAAGTAACTTCAAATTTTCCATCTGGGTTTGTATTATACTTGCGACGTTTGATGGGATTTCTTGGCTTAGGGAGGTTAACAGTCTATTTAACATTTCAGAAAATTGGTAGTTTAGTCATGTTATACGTGATTGCTGGGCGTTGTTGGCTTGGTTTTGGATTTGAGTTAGAAAGTCAGGAAATAGGAATAGAAATTTTTCTTGGTAAGTTCCGTGTGGTCTGATTTTATAGTTGGATTCATTCCTCGCAGGGACTTTTAAGAGTAACTGTTGATAAAAGTACAACTCTCCATCATCAATTTTTAGGAATCGATACCTGACGACTATTTCTTTGGAATGCTTGATGACGTAATTACCTAATTCGTCACGGTAGATTTGGCGTGGTGTGGGTGCAGGTAACGAAGGTGTTATGGAGTACCTTTTGAAATATTGAGGGTAAGTTAAGTCGTTAAATTCGAGGAGGTGAGGTCGGAACATGTATTTCATGATATTATCATCATAATACGGGTTCTCATCGTCTTCTTCTATCATGTAAATCAGAATTATAGCACGGGTTCTTGCGTGAGGCGGTTCTGTCGTGAGGAATTTCACAGTAGTAGAGGAGTTGCAGATCTGGTGCCCAAGGAGGAGGAACATAAGTTCCATGGAACCGAGTCTTCGTGCGATGATGTATTCTCTGAGTAGGTCATTTTCCTGGACGTTAAATACGTGGGAAGGTTCACTTTTCGTCATATACTTCATCATATATCGGGCGAATCCTCTATCCGTTATGTATTGGGCGTTCATATGCGCGTCCCATATTAGGAGAATAGCTGGATGATAGGGGACGACCCACGAGTCTGCTTTGGTTAGGCATTTATGGGGTCTGGGATGGTTGAGCGGATGATGTCGTTCGAAATCATAATCTCGATGTTATTGGTAGTCCAGTAGCAACTGTGCGTGTAAGCGGCACCTCTGTTTTGAAACTCGACCTGATCGAAAAAGTCTGTGATGTCACCGAAACCTATTAAATCGGGTTTTTTGTAAAGCTCGTTTTTCAAAGATCTAAATTTGTGGACGAAGTAATTAGCGCAATGAAAAGGTCTATTCGTGGGCAAAGTATCACCGTTGTCACTGTTGAAAAGTATGTGACGTAGGTGAGACCATCGGCCTTCGGCCATGCTCAGGGTTATGAATAATGTAGGCAAACTAGTCTTTTGTATCATCGCGTTGAGGTGGAGCTGCTTCTGATGAAAATAGGTGTTACCAGTTCATACAAATGTGGGGATAGGTATTGTGATGTTTTCGTTAACGACGTTGCGATGAGTGTAAGCACTGGGACGAAGCAAATCTCTTGCTGGTGGAAGGTTCGTAGTATTACCAGAGGTAAGTTGAGCTTGTCGTA